GGAGGGTGAACAGTGAGGGAAGAAGTCATGGATTCAGGGAAAGGATGCACTGCTGATCTTTGTGACTGCTCTCAGTTGTACACATGTAAAAGGTCACCTTGGCAATGTCATGCTATATCTTTACAACAAGGACAAAAATAAATACGAGTAGTTGCTGAGGCTACTGTATGTATAACCTTGGTTTGGAAGTTTAGGAACATGGTTTCATGGGACACCTCAGGGAATGTGTGTAGTGCTTCTGCTCTACCTCCTAATTTGTTGCGTGCTAACATTGACTCTTGAAAGTGGGCAGGCGGTCATCCAAGAAACGATTGGTCTCTAGTTTCCTGAAGAAGGAGAGTCATGAACAGGAGGAGGATAAGAAATGTGTGGCTGGTCACCTCAATAGAGGACTGTCTCCTTTAACAAGAGCCTGGCAGAGCTGGGTGGTGCCCAATTGCCATAGGTAAGCATTTTGATCACAGATTCTACAGAAGAATTCTGACCAAAAGGGGGGTGTTTACAGAACAATATTTCAAATTCTCCCGGGCTTTACACTTTCTGGAGCCATGAAAGGTAGATGAACCCCTAAAACTATTGCCTGAGATGGTTTTTATACCTTAAACCAACTCTGAGAATGTAATCAGTGCCACGAAATCATACCTGTAGACACAGTGCCATTATATTGTACCTGGTACATGCTGTGCTGTGTAAATGCTCATCAAAATAAATAACATTTAAAGGAATGAAAAGAGAGGATGCCCAGGTTGGAGGCTTGGACCACCGGAAGGAAATGCAGGATAAAGAGAAGACTCAAGGGCCCCATGAGGAGGTCTGTTGGCTTTGTTTTGAGTTCGAGATACCTGTGTAACACAGGTTGAGTGGGATGTTGGCCATAAAAGCTTGAAGGTCAAGAGGGTACTCTGAAGCAACAATATCTATCTGGGAGGCTTTGGCCACTCAGGCCATCAGACTGCGTGGCTTAGTCCAGAGAGAGAGAGCACTGAGTGAGAAGTGAGGTGAACAAACTGAGAGCTGATGACCAGGACAGTAGGAGAAGGTCAGAGAAAGACGGCCAGAGACACAAGTGAATAATAGGGGTGGTGTCCCAGAGACCAAAGAGGATGTTTCAAGAAGGAAGCAAGTAGCTAATTATGTTGACTATTGCTAAACAGCTTAGCTAGGAAGAGATGGAAACATATCTATTTGATTTGTGATTTATGGATAAGGAAGTCATTGATGACCTCAATGGAAGCTGTTTTGGAACAGGCTGAAGAGTCCATGGTAAGAGTTGAAACAGGAACCCAAATGTGGACAATTCAGGACAAATCAAGAAGTTTGATTTTGAAGATGGGATGTGAGCAGTGGAAGGGGAAGGTGGAGTTCAGGGAGGATGTTTGTTTTTATTTTTTTCCTACTTTAACTTTTATTTTAAGCTTAATTTGCTCCTGAGCCACAAGGTTTTGCTTTTTCAGTTTCTTCGGGGAGATCTTTTTCTTCTGTGCAGCCTCCTCTTCTGGTTTGGGAACAATGTGTTCCTTCTCAGTCAGGATCATTTCAATGTGGCAGGTGGGCCGCTCATGGATGGATTGATCTGACCATGAGCTCTGTAAGTCCGGTGGCGCATCTTGGGGGCTTTGTTCACCTGGATGTGCTCAATGACCAGAGAATCCACATCTAAACCCCCAAGTTCAGCATGACTCTCTGCATCTCTAAGCATGTGCAACAGAAATTTAGCACTCTTTGGGGGCCATTGACCAAGGGTCCAACCCCCCTGTTTAGCGTGGGCATACCTGCCAACCTCACCATTGTAACTTCGGAAGGGCACACACTGCTTCTGCAAAGTGACGTCGGGACGTCTTTCAAATATTTGGTGGCTTTCCGGATCTGCTTACCCTTGATGGCCTGGGCAGTTCTATGGGTGTTCTTAAAATGGACCTGCAGATTCGACCTTCTTGATTTGCATGATTTTGTGGGGTTTTCTGGGTCAAGTGAGTAGCCCACCATTTTGACAGATCATCAGGCTGCTTCAGGAAGAGGAAGAGCAGTGGGTCCTGGGAGGATTTCTGGTCACTCAACTTCTCCAGGGTATTTGTTTAGATAAAGGAGACTTGAGGATGTTTTAGATGCCTGGCAGGGGTCCTACAACAGAGAACAGTTTGGGTACCCACAATAGTCCTGTCTGATTGGTTATGTCATCTTGTGCTGCCCAAAGGAACAACTCTCTTTTCTGTATTCAAGATGCTCAATCCCTCCAAGTAATCTAGAATTTTCTTCAGCTGGACCTGTCAGGGCCTCCCGAGAAGCCGTGAAAATTCTCACAGGGATTCGATTGTCTGTTGGGTGGAGGTTGTCAGCCCTTCCCAAAGGATACAGAGATACCTGAGAAGGAGGGAGGGAGAGAGGGACGGAGGTTTCTCCTCACAGTGAGCGATGCTGCCACCTGCCCAGGATTTAGACATTCCACTTTCAGAGCCTCAGAAAAGAGATGACTTGAAGAAATACAAAAAAGAGAGATTCTTCTTAGCTTTTGAGCTTAAAAAAAAAAGAAGCAGCTAGGCAGTAGATAAAATTTTGGACTAGTAACATGATCAGAGAAGATGGAGCTAAGTATAGATGCAAGAGTGTGACTGAGAAAGGAGAGACACCCAAGATAGCCAGGCTCAAACAGCTCCAGGTTTGTGATTCTGGGGAACAAGAGGGTCCCAGAGCTCAAGCCCTATGTGATTTGGGTCCAGAAAAGGAGGAGTCACCATGCCTTGTGTTTCAGCCAGCGGGCAGCTAGCTGCTCCAAAGTCCACAGCTGAAGCTGAGATGCACACCCCTCTACCCCCCTCTGGTCTTGGAAGCTACACACACCCATTTCCTCCTCTATACCATGGGCACAGTCAACTCATTCTAAAAGGGAGCCAGAGAACTGAAAATAACATCACATATATGAAAGCCCGTATAGGACGTCAAGCTGTCAAGCATTAAACAGACATAAAGGATGATTATCGGTCTTTAAAGGATTACACACACACACACACACACACACACAATCCAACCTAGCAGAGGAGCACCGTTTTGTTTTTTAACTGCTTCTAAACGTCTTCGTTCCGCACAAAGGGACACACCCGTGGTGGCCACATGGCTGTTCCTTATCCATCTGCCCTCCTCCATCAGGGTTTCTTTAGGTTTGGGATGGCTTTCTTCTCTGCCAAGATCGATGGTTGCTCCACTAGGTGGGCTTATTCGAAGATGTACAAGGATATCTTGACACATTGGTATTGTGGTCCCCACCACGGACCAGCACCACAGGGTGACAGGAGTGGCTCTTTCTGTGGACAGCAGGAGTGGCCTGAGCTCTGTAGCCTTAGGTGATAAATGATGGAGACGACGACAGTGCCCATCAGTGTGCCCTCACCAAAAGAAAATGAAGCAAACTCCAAACTGTGACCCACAGTGCACAATTTTCTGGTAACTATATCGGTGCTCTTTTGAAATGCCCAATTCTTTGAGGATTTTTGCTTTTTACTTGTACCGATGCCCCTGTGCGTGCCCGCCCCCCCCAAATATTTTTTTACTTGACTACTAAGCCAGCATTATCACGGAAGGAAGGCAATCTGCTTCCATAAAGATTCCAGACTCAAAAGCCAACGCTGGCTCATGGCAATCCCCAAGACTATAACGGTTCCCAAGGCTGTAACTGTTCACGGGAATGGAAAGCAGTCTTTCTCCCACGGAGCTGCTGTTGGTTTGGAACTGTCAGCCATGAGGGTCGCAGCCCAAAGCATAACCACAATGCCACCAGCACCACCCCGAGTAGATGGCGGCCAGAAAATCCAATGGAACAGTCCTACTTTGTAACACAGGGGGTCGCCATGAATCTACCTACTATGCTGGGCCATCGCTCAACTGATAAACCAGGCACTCAAAAAGGCCAGGTTTTGGGGTCCCGCTGGGGAGACCTGCAGTCAATCAAATGCAGTGTTACTCAGGATGGTTTCTCCCAAGATCACTAGACTACTCCAGAACAAACAGGGCAAGCGGCAAAAGCCATCCCAGCCTTCTCCAGCCACTCCATCTGCAGCACCCAGTCCCCAAAGCGTTCACCTGGGAGGGGGAGCATAGAAAGGGGGCGGAGACAAGCAGGAAGGGACAACACCGAATCTAGAGGGAGGAACAAAGAGTCCCTGAAGTCCAGCCTCCCGACGAAGAAACCAAGGAGTGGCATGCAGGTGAGTGAGGGGAGATTCTGGGGATGGGCCAGAACCAGGCAGAAGCGGGCAAAGGGCCTATCATGGGACTACGTCGGGAGAGCACTTCAGGGGCAAGGCCAGGGCTCCAGGGGGTGGATTAGGGGCTGGGCCGGGGCTCCCAGGGAGGGGCAGGGCAGGGGCGGGATTTAGGGAGGTTGGACTAGAGCAGTGGTTCTCAACCTTCCTAATGCCACGACTCTTTAATACAGTTCCTCATGTTGTGGTGATCCCCAACCATGCAATTATTTTCGCTGCTACCTCACAACTGTAATTTTGCAACTGTTATGAATCTGATATGCATGATGTATTTTCATTATTACAAATTGAACATAAGTAAACACAATTAAAGCATAGTGATGAATTACAAAACAAAATGTAATTATATACTGTGAAATATTTATGTGTTTTCCGGGGGTCTTAGGCGACCCCTGTGAAAAGGTCGTTCGATCCCCCAGAGGGGTCGCGACCCACAGGTTGAGAACCGCTGGACTAGCGGGAGGGCAAGGAAGGGCCAGTACCCAGGGGGCCAGGCCCAGGGCCAGGACTCACGAGGTGGGAAGGGGCGGACGCAGGGCCTAGGGAGCGCAGCAGGGGCTGGACCAGGGTCAGGGTCAGGGTCACGGTCAGGGCCCAGGGAGCAGAGTGCGCGCTGGATCAGGGTTCAAGAGGTGAAGCAGGGGCGGGGGCGGGGGGGCGTTCCGGGGGCGGGGCAAAGCGCAGGAGGCGGTTCCGAGGCCGGAAGGTGAGAGTGGTCCGGAGGCCTCGGCTGCCCGGGGTGGGTCAGTGGCGCGCCTCCGCAGCGTCCCGGGGCCGCGGCTCCAGCAGGCGCAGAGCCCAGGGCAGCAGGCCGAGCAGCAGCAGCAGGCCGAGCAGCAGCCGCAGCAGCGGCCACGCCGTGCAGCCACGGCGCCGTGCGGGCGTGGACTGCACGTAGCGCTCCACGACTTCGGCGAAGCGGAACGCGGCCGGGGCGTAGCCGAGCTGAGCGCGGGCCTTGGCGATCTGGAAGGTGTGCGTCACGGCCACGCTGCGCACCTGTGGGGAGAGGCGGGGCAGCGAGGGGAGTACCAGCCAGGAGGGATGGGTTTGGACCATCAGAGAATTGCAGACTCAAGAGAGAACATCCCAAGTAAAGGCTGGGAAGGAGCCAGCACTAAGCCGGGGCCCACGTGGTAGGTTATATCAGGCAGCAGGGGTAGAGATGGGGGCGCTCTACCGGAGGGGCTCTAAGGGAGATAAGAGCCCCCCAACCCTGGGCGCAGGGGTTCCCCCAGCAGCCAGCCTGCTTACCTCACTCCTAGTGAGCAGCGGTGGGACGCTGCAGATGGGCCTGAGGGCCAGATGCAGATACTCCATCACCGTGGCTGTGTGGGGAGAGAGTGGGCTTTGTCCTAAAGGGTCCCGGTTTAGCCTCCAGGGACAAGTCGGTTGGAAGCATTCTTCAGTGTGCTAAGGGATTCGAAACACTTAGCAGGGTTTCATTCTGTTGTGCATAACATCATCACTATGGGCTGAAATGGACTCAATGGTACCTAATGACAATAAAATGACCTATAAAAGGTCTTTTCCCCCCTTGTGTACATCTTAGTAACATCGTTTACCTTAGCCAGACCTGTGCACACTTACACTCACTCAGTGTTAACTTTGGCATCGCCAAAAATAATGTGTCTACTATGGAGGATTCCTGATCCCCACCCATCCTTGGTAACCCCAAGTGCACATGAGCGTCCACATATTTACCGATTCTGTGTATTCATAAAGTTCTTCAGTTGCTTTTAAAGTGCAGCCAGGGTTGAAAACCACTGGGACTGGGCCTTTATACTCAATCCTCAAAAATAGGTGCCCTGGTGATGTGGTGAGTGAAAGTGCTCGGCTGCTAACCCAAAGGTTGGCAGTTTGAACCCACCAGCCACTCTGCAGGAGAAAGATGTAGCAGCCGGCTGCTGTAAAGATTACAGCCTTAGAAACCCTACAGGTTTCTATGAGTTGCTATGAGTCAGGATCGACTCTATGGCAGTGAGGTTTTATGTTTCGTTTTGCTCTTCTTTTTTTATTTCCTCTAAAACTCCCACAAGTTGTGGCTGATCTTTCCTCAGCTGAGAGCCAAGAGTGTCCTGTGTGGGCATGCTTCCGTGGGCCCCTGGCGACAAATGTGTGCACATTACTGCATCAAAAGGACAGCCTCCTGTGCATCGGAAATACAGATGGACGCAGTCAGCTTTTCTAGAAACATAGCTGCTTGAGGGACGACAGGGCTTTCTGTCCCCTCAGGTGGGTCACCCCATGGCAGAAGCCTCCTTCACAATCCAGCTGGAAAGAAGTTGGCAGAGGGACGCGGGTCCCTGGGAAGCTGCCAAAACCTACTGTCAGGGATGGCAGTGGGGGCAGAAGCTAGCCTTCTGGCGGAGGCTGAAAACCCAGGGCCTTAAAGCAGCTTTAGGTTCCGGGAGCCCTTGGGGGACACGGAGCACCAGGTTCCTGTTCTTCTGACTTCCAGCATTTGTCTTCTAGCACATGGCCTGGCCAGGTGAGTCAGCACATCCAGATGTAATTGCCACTGTTGCACCCTGGGCCTGTGATGAAATTCCCTGAGCTGAACACAATGGGCCCAGTCACACCCACCTTCAAGTGGGAGAAGCCTTTGCATAGGGTGAGCACTGGGGCCGCCAAGGATGCATCTTAGATATTGTATGTAAGGAAGCCTCGCTCTCAGGTGAACAAATGGAAGGTCCGGTTTAGAGCATGTAATGGTTTGCAACCTGGGTGCCTCACCCTAGTCCTTGCCTGGGTTTAAAATAAGGTAACATATATATGTGTAGCACAAGGAGGGCTTTTATCACACAGGCTCCCTTCCTTACCTGCCAGGTAAACCAAGGATGTAGGCACCTGGATCCAGGGCTGGCTGTATCCCAGCTTCTCAAACTGCAAGGAAACATGGCCTGACATAAGGATGGGTCCTTAAGGGTATAGTGTGGAGAGGTCACGCACTCCATTCCCCATCTGCTCCCCACTCCCCACTCCCCCTCCTGCCCCAGCCCAGGTCAGCAGAGGTTTCTTTTGACACACTGCTAATCCAGTCAGTGGTGGCCTACCCCATGGCCAGTCACAAGTCCAAGCCAGACTGGAAATGAATTCTACCCTTCCACAGGAAAATTCACCCTAGCAAATGACTGCAGGGGGTGGAGTTCTAACTCAGAATCGTACACATCTTTTATTGTGATGTACCCTAGGTGGTGCAATGAGTTACGCATTGGACTGGTAACCACAAGACCAGCAGTTTGAACCCACCAGCTGCCCCTCAGAAGAAAGATGAGGATTCTGTTCCCATAAAGATTGACCATTTTGGAAACACAAAGGGGCAGTTCTGCTCTGTCCTAGAGGGTCGCTATGAGTCAGAATTGACTTGGTGGCAATGCGTTGGGTTTGGTTTCTTATTAATACTGGAGAACACCGTGGGCATCATGCCGGATAAAGTAGCGGCTCAGCGACAAAGAGAGAGACCCTCAATGAGATGGACTGACTACAAGGTTTGTGACATTGGGCTCAAATATAACACCTGTGAGGATGGTGAGGACCAGCAGTGTTTCGTTCTGTTGTCATTATGAGTCGAAGCTGACTTGATGGGCCCTAACAACAACAACAATGACATTCCTAGAGAAAGGAGACCTGGTGGTGCTGTGGGTTAAGCACTGAGCCTCGAATGCAGGTTGCTGGTCAGATCCAGCAGCTACCCCGTAGGAGAAAGATGAAATTGTCTGCTCCCATAAAGGTTTACTGTCATAGAAATCCAAGGAATCCAATCAATGGCAGTGAGTTTAACAGTGCACAGCGGAAGCCCGGGGTCCATTCATGCATCTGCTCGTGAGTTCAGCCTTCAGTGAATTCCTTCTGACCATTGAAAGCAGCGTGACTAGCCAGGCAGAGTACTAGTCACAGAGAGTGGCTGCCAGGCCAGGGAGAAGTGGCATAACCCCGAGGGCCTTGCCTGGGTGTGCCCTCCATGGAACTTAGAGTGCCAGGGTTGCATGGTCATGAGTCCCGCCCTGACTGCCTTGGCCAGAGAGCCCCGGACCAGTTTTATAAGCTCTTCTATCTAGTATACTATATGCGACCCACTCATGGTCCCATTCCTGCTTCTGTAGTCCCTCCTGTAACTGTGATGTATAATCAGCTGCCAAGCATGCGTTTGTGCCTGTTTCCTTTGCTCTCCCATGTCCTGTGTAAGTCTCCGGTTCTAGGCGAGCCCTCTGACACCATCGCAACTTCGTCCTAATAGTCTCCCTGATCCGGATGATGCGTTTTTGTCTAGGTCTTGCCTTTTCCTACATAAGACATGAAATATTTTCTTTCATTGATATTTTAGATTTGGGGGTCTCTTTTGTGTCCTGAAACAAGTATAAGTAATCTAGAAATGATTTAAAGTTTATAGGAGGAAAATAAAGTATATAGGAGGATTGCATATATTATATGCAAATGCTATGCCATTTTACAAAGGGACTTGTGCATCCATGGATTTCGGTATCTTGGGGATCCTAGAACCAGTGCCCGTGGATACTGAAGAATGACTGTATTTACCCAAGAGAAATGAAAACATATGTCCCCCGAAAAAATGTGTAAGCAAATGTTCATAACAGCATTATTCATAATTGCTCCCAAAGTGGATAAACCCACATGCCTGTGACTCATGGATGAATAAACATGTGGTATAGCCATCGAAAGGAACTGTGTTTGGCAAGAAAAAGGAATGGGGTACTGACATATGATAAAACATGGGTGAACCTTGACAACATTGTGCTAGGAGGTCAGTCAAAAAGGCCACATTTTGTATTACCATATATACTCGAGTATAAGCTGACCCAAATATCAGGCAAGGCTTTGTATTACCATATATACTCGAGTATAAGCTGACCCAAATATCAGGCAAGGCACCTAATTTTACCATAAAAACTGTATAAAAATATGTTGAAAAACTCAGCTTATACACGAGCATGTACGGTATTTCATTTATATGAAATGCCCAGAACAGATATATCTATATGCGGAGAATAACATTTTTACATAGACAGAACAGATATACCTATATATGGAGAAAGTAGACTAGAGGTTGCCCAGAGCTGGGCAAGGGTAGGAGGAGGAAGAAAGTGACTACCAGTAGAGGCATTTGCTTTTTAAGAATATATATATTATTAGAGTGACAACGATGCTATAAAATTGATTTTTCAAAATATGTATTATTAGTGTCAAAGATGCCATAAAATTGACCATGATGATTCTTTAACGGTATTAAAAAGCATTGTCCACCCTCATCATTCCCTGGGGATCTTTCTACTCCCCTCCCCTGCTGTTCTGCTGCATGCCCCCCAGTGCCTTGCCTCAGCATGGCGGGGTCAGATCAGGGTGGACATTGGAGACAGGGCATGGTGCCCCAACAGGCTAGACTGGAAAACACAAGTTTTTCTTGCTTGGTATATTTTAATTTGTTCTTTGTC